GTTTTATCCTACACTACAGTCTGGTACTACCAACACATCGAATAAAACAACATTGTTTGTCAATTTGAAATTACCAATTTTATTTATTTTGGCTTTAGTGCCATTTGGATGACATACCCTGAGATGTTTACAATGTTTTTTAGAAAATTAGAATTGTGCATCATGTGTTGATTAGCTCCAGAATCAATGATCCAACTAGACAGAAGGTTAGTACCTGCCATATTAGCAGATGCTCCTTCGTATGATTGTTTTTGCTCAATAAGCCTAAGAAGTTTATCTATTTGTTCTTGCGAAAAAGGAAAAAGGGAACCAGATTGAGTAGTCTTAGATTGAGTGACATCAGGGATACTGGCATTATTATTACTAACAATATTTTTGAAAGAAGAGTTTTGTGGCTTAGAACGTTTTGAGAATTACTAGGAAAATCAATCAGTTTGATACATCTTTCAATGGTGTGTCCTGACATGCCACAGTGTTTACGTTTAAGAGTGGAAATTCTTCCAAAACGCCTTTTATTATCAGTAGAATTACTTAAGAAAGTAGTGTTTTGAGATTTTGTTCTAGGTTGGGACATATTACTCCCCCGATGAGATTCATCACGAGAGATAAGAGAAAAGGCAGTTCTGACCAAGAGAAAAGGCAGTTCTGACCGATGGAAGGGGGTCCCTAGTGAGAATATTGCTCCTTATGGGTTGATAAACATTGTCAAGACCCATAAGAAACAGCATGAGCTTAACCTATTGTGTGTGTTCAAGAAATTCATGTGAGGCATTACAGGTACAGGTAGGGAGTTTAACTAGAGCGTCAAACTGTTTCTATAATGAGTTTAGTCTATGATAGTAATCAGAAACAGAAGATCCATTTTGACACAGAGAATTTCATTTTTGATATAGATTGAACATGACAGATCTGTCTACTTTGTCGTATGTCTCTTTTAATTCTTCCCAAACCTTAACAGATTCTCTAGAGAAAACTTGTCTTAAAAACAGGTCCTCCGTCATAGAACTCAGAATCCATGAGAGGACTACTGAGTTACACCTATCCCATTGTTTTTCAAGAATGGGATCATTGACAGGTCTAGGACAGGATCCATCAATGAAACCGATTTTGTTTTTAGTTTCGAGGGCCAAAATCATAGCACATGCCCAAACCTTGTAATTTTCCATACTATACAATTTTATATTTTATAGTTAACAAAGGTGTTTTGCTTGTTTTACTAGGATGTAGATACAACGGATGTCCAAAGTCAAGACTATTGATTTTGGATTCCATTGGTCTACTAGCGACAACCTTAGAACCAGCCATAGAAACAAAGAAAAACACATAAAGGAGACTAAGACATATATAAGCAGGATTCCTAAAACACTTAAAGCGTTAGGTCAAGCTAACTGTCTAGTTCCTTAACAAGAAAAATAAAACACACAAGAGGAAGCACAAACAGATAACAATACAAATATGAGAAAGAATACCACCAAGATAACAACCAAAAGAAAGGGGAAGAGGGAACATACCTGAGCAGCAACAACAAAGCTTTAACCAAAGGTTAAAGAGAAAATAATCTCACCAGGAAAAAAACCTAAACAAACACTTATTCGAACAAGATGAACAGCCACGATGACAACATCTGAAAGCTTTCAAACCATATCTACAACCAACCACAAAATCGCAAACGATACTTCTTACAGATTTGGCTCTGATACCATGAACAAACATATAAACTGATATTTATTCAATGGTTTAAACCAAATACAAAGAAGAAAACATATAAACGACCTATCTAAATGTTAACCAAAGCGATTAACAAAGAATAAAGCTTCAAGTAAAAGAGATGAATCGTATGAACTAGAGAGAGAAATGAAAACTTGTGAGACTGAAAAAATGAATCTGATAGCTAATAATGACTCTTCAAGCCTTTATATATAAATTCGACTTTAGTAGAAATGGTCCTCAAAGTTTGATAAAGTTGCTCCGCTGCCCCTGATGAATTCCCAAATGTGAGGCGCGCTCCCTTGAGTTTATAGTAGAACTTAAGCTTTATTGCAACATTGGTCCTTTAACCTATTAACCTATTATATCAAATACAAAAGTAAAGATTGTCAGTCAATGATACATTTCAACATAATCATAACGGTAGGAAGCCATTTTTTGCATCCACGCCATCTTTTTCTTCTACAGAACTCCATCTCCTTGGATTGAACACAGAATCTACCGGAACCTTAGGAAGAGTGAAATTAGATATCTTTTCTTTTTCCTCCACAAAATGAATGCTTTCGGTCATAGATGGAATTGTTAAATTATAAGCTAAATCATCCTAGGAGACTATGGTCGTTATGTTCGTTAAGGTAGATGACGGTTACCTTATTCCCACCAAAAACTGTTTCTGAACAGTTGCAACTCTTTGAAGGGTCACAATGTTTCTTTTTAACTGTTTGTTGTCTTTATGTAGTCTGTTTTCTTCATTCATTGTTAACGTGATGTAATAATCAACAAATATTCTTTACTTAAGAAAAGATATATTTGTGTGTTGTGTATATGGTTTACCATTAGGAATGCTCCTATGCTTTATCAACATCTCTTCTTTATGAGATCTTGAAATAACTTCTGCTTGATCCGTTCGAATTACCTTGAACGCGTGTCCATTTTTCATAACCTTGAAACAATTATTTGGAGCATGAGTCTTCGGTCGATTGGTTGTAAATTTTTTTTTCTTGTTTTCCTTGGAGAAGATTCTTCCAAGGGAGGACGAATTCCGGCCATAGCAAGCAAGAACGGGCAAAAAACTCAAGGGAGGCTAGAGAGAAAAATTCTAGAAAGAGAAAGTAGAAAGAGAAAGAGAGCCGTGGGGTTTTCTATCAATTAAATATTTATGCATTTGAAGCTGGTTTCCTTTTTTAACTCTACATATTGTGTGATTGTGTAATTCCAATATGGATCTTGGGTATGTTTTCCATATCCCATATGCATAGTACTTGCACAAACAGGTTTGCTAGGGAAGTTCGTTAGGAGAGGAGTGCGATCCTCACTAGGGGTCATTGCTTTAACTTTTTTAATGTGACTTCCGTAATTTTTTTTACCATTTGAATACTTCAATATTATTAACAAAGTTATTCAAAAAATTGTAATATCATATATTTTCAATATATTAGGATGAAAGGAGGCCACACGAGAGTCTTGTAGTGCTCCCTATTGAGAAGGACTTGCCATGGTATACTGAGAGTCATCGATATTTCGATAGCAAGGTTCAACGACCATCGAAGAGACTAAGACCCTCGTGACAGCTATGATGACTCGGGCCTCCATTGACGAGCCACACCAACATGATGACTCGGGTCTCCATCATCATCCATATGTCACCCAAAGATATGAGCCCCATCTTTCCGTATGACACCATCCAACCATCACTAGATGTTAAAAGGTGATGGTGAAAGACCAGTAGACTCAACTCTATATCAAAGTCTTGTTGGATGTCTTATGTACTTGACAACAACAGGACCTGACATAATGTTTGCTGTGAGTATGCTCAACAGATATATGGAAAATTCCAAACAAGGACATTGGGAAGCTGCAAAAAGAGTCCTAAGATATGTAAAAGGTACTCTAGACCATGGTATTACCTATTCGTACTCTCCTGTCTTCAAATTAATTGGGTATAGTGATAGTGATTATGGAGGATGCTTTGATGATAGCAGAACTACAACAGGTTACATATTTTCTCTAGGAACAGGTGCAGTATCGTGGCAGTCGAAGAAACAAAAGGTGGTAGCTTTATCTTCCACAGAAGCAGAGTGTATGGCACTCTCTTCCACAGGATGTCAAGCTTTACGGTTAAGAAGTCTTTTGGAAGAATTAGGCATTCCACAAGAAACTCCACCACAGATTTATTGTGACAATAAATCTATAATTACACTCACTAGGAATCCCGTTTATCATGGCAAGAGTAAACACATAAGGGTAAAATTCCATTTCATTCGGGAACTCATCCAAAATGAAGAGGTTGACTTTGTATTCTGTGTTTCAAAAGATCAAATAGCATATATCTTTACAAAGTCTTTGTAGTGTGGAACTTTTATCAAATTGAAAAAGGATATAAGGGTGGATGATGTATAGATTATGGGAGGATTTGAAGGAGGATGATGTTTTGCTTATGGGAGGATGTTAAATTATAAAGCTAAATCAACCTAGGACAGTATGGCCGTTATGTTCGTTAAGGTAGATGACGGTTACCTTATCCCCACCAAAAACTGTTTCTGAACAGTTGCAACTCTTTGAAGGGTCACAACGTTTCTTTTTAACTGTTTGTTGTCTTTATGTAGTCTGTTTTCTTCATTCATTGTTAACATGATGTAATAATCAACAAATATTCTTTACTTAATAAAAGATATATTTGTATGTTGTGTATATGGGTTACCATCAAATGGTATCAGAGCTCAGATCGCATGGCATCTGATCTGTTGAATAATCTACAAACTCAGTCACAAAACCAACTGCCCAAGTTAAATGGAACAAATTACTTCCATTGGAGCATTCAAATGAAAGTCTTGTTTGAATCTCAAGACTTGTGGCAAATCAACGAAGAAGGATTGCAAGAGCCTGAAAATCCTACTGTCTTAACTACATCACAGATCAGTGCACTTAATGAAACAAGGAGAAAATATGAAAAGGCTTTGTTCTTGATTTACTAGGCAGTAGATGACAACATATTTGAAAGGTCATTGCAGACAGCAAAGGAAGCCTGGAACATAAATTTGAGATGTGAATTTGACAACCTCAAAATGAAAGAAACAGAAATAGTTGAAGAATATTATACGAGAGTGATTGTACTGTTGCACCAAATGATATTAAATGGAGAAAGTACTGATGATAGGCGAGTTGTTGAGAAGATACTTCACAGCCTCACTCATAAATTTGAATACGTAGTCGTTGCTATAGAAGAATCCAAGGATCTAACAAATTTCTCTTCGGAAACACTATTGGGTACTTTATAATCGCACAAATAGCGCATGAAGCAATTTGATACAACTGTGATGGAACACGCCTTCCAAACACAGTCCTCCTGGGATGCAAGCACAAGTGCAAGGCAAAGACCAATGGAGACAAACAGAGAAGAACAAGGCTATGCAGTCTCCAAAAATAAAGGAAATGGTAAACCATTTTCTCCAATAAAATGTTTTTATTGTGACAAGTTAGGACATACTATTAAATTTTGTAGAAAAAGGTTAGCAGAAGAAAATAAAACATCTAATTTTATGCATAAGGAGGACAGTCACAATGATGATACAATGTTCATGATGCTTAGCATACAAGAACCCAATCTTAGGAACCTTTGGTATTTGGAAAGTGGTTGTAGTAATCACATGATAGGAAATAGAGAATTGTTCCTGAATTTAGAAGAATCAGAAAAAAAGGATGTCAAAATAGGAGATGATAAGAAATTGAGTGTACATGGGAGTGGAGATATAGCTATTAAGATCAATGACAAAGACAAGAAGATATCAAATGTTTTTTTCGTGCCTGGTCTTAAACACAATCTGTTAGGCGTAGGACAAGTCATTCAAAAAGGTTATGGCTTACAATTTAAGGATAGATTGTGTGAGATTACAGATTCAAATAATTTCGTAATTAGAAGAGTTGCCATGACCACCAACATGATGTTTCCTATTAAATTTAATGATGATACCTTCTTCTCCTTATCTGTCAGCACCAAAGAAATCTGTTTATTATGGCATAAAAGGTTTGGACATGTGAATCTCAATACCTTGTCCCACATGCACAAGAATGATTTTGTGAAAGGATTACCATTTGTTGCTCCTCTTTCTCAAATATGTGAGGGTTGTGCTCTTGGTAAACAGTCCAGGGAATCATTTCCTGATGATAAGGCATGAAGAGCATGAAAACAGCTTGAATTAATCCATACTGATATATGTGGCCCTATGAGAACCCCATCTTTTGGTGGAAGTAAATACTTCCTTACCTTTATAGACGACTTTAGTAGGAGAATTTGGATATATTTTTCAAAGGAAAAATCAGAAGCCTTTACATGTTTTCTCACTCTCAAGGCTATGGTGAAAGACAAAGTGAGTTGAAAATTAAATGCTTAAGGTCAGATAGAAGGGGTGAGTACATTGGCCATGATTTTGAAGACTATTTAAAGAGCAATGGCATCCACCATCAACTAGCTGCCAGCTACACACCCCAGCAAAATGGGGTCGCAGAAAGAAAGAATAGGACCCTAGTTGAGATGGCTAGATGCATGCTCAAAAGTAAATACCTTCCCGATGTGTTTTGGGAAGAAGCAGTCTCTTGTGCTGCGTACTTGATCAACAGGTCGTACACTAAAAGTCTTCCAGGAAAGACTCCTCAAGAAGCCTGGAATGGCTTCAAACCTAGTGTCAATCATCTAAGAACCTTTGGKTGTATTRCATATGCC